TATGTATATATATCATGTTATGTATATATAGTATATAATATATATATATATATATATATATATATATATATAAATATACACGTACACACACACAAACACACACGCAGATACACGCATATATACACACTTATTTAGATATACATATGTATGTATAGACACATATTTATATATATATGTATATATATATATATATTATACGCAGACTTACATACACGCACACACACACACACACACACACACACACGCACACACACACAAATATATATATATATATATAATCTTTATAACTATATACATATGTATATGTGTATGTAAAACCACGTTTGTATCAAATGTGTAATATAGTTCTACGAAAGTACATGTTTATATCCATTGTCCCATTGAATTTTAGAGTACAAATCTGTCATTGATTGTTTTGCGAAAGTGTCGAATTAGTTGAATGTATGCATGTTGATTGTTGGTTGTCATGGGTGCTATTTCTATTAAGGTATAGAGCAGGGAATGGTCTCTACGGGAATGCCAATATACTTGCAAGGTATTTATTTTTGATCTTTTTTTAATACTATTGCAGGTAAACCCATTCCAAATGTCTGCAAAGGGGATGAAGCCAGGAGATGCTCTCGTTGACTCAGAGCGTAACCCAGAGACGCCTCTCCTAAGTTCCGAAACATTCGTATCCTCTATTCCCAAAGCGGGCACAAGTGAACATTGGGTGTATCCGTCAGATCAACGATGGTATAATGCTGTCAAGCGCAAAGAAGAGGATCCCAAGTGGGGATTCGATCCTTCTAAAGAGGTACGAATGTTATTGGTTTGTGTATCTGATTCCGGTTACTTTTTTAACAGTTCAATGTCTAGACTTCATACTAATATTCTGAAATTAATACATAACAACCCTTGCGCATAGGTGGTACATATATCTTGGGGCTGCATCTGAGATATTGTGGTGGGGTTAGGGTTATATATTTGTAATCTTAGCTGATTTTCTTCGATATGCTTTGTGCTTGCTGTTCACTGAGACGGATGCGCGATAAGCTGTACAAATAACATGCATGCAAAGGATGAAAAATATGTACAAATATTACTACGTGAAGTGTCTGAAAAATATTTGTATTGTGTATTGCGAAGTCGTAGTCGTTTAGTCAGCTTGCATGTGTATTTTTCGACAATAATGAATGCTGTGAGATGTTGTAAATAACTGAACAAAGCGTGCGAGTGCACTCTTCTACCCAGCAAGGGGGTTTTCGAACCACAAAACGTTCGATTCTCTATGCCTATGATTCAGACTAAATATTGCGCATTTCGGGCGTAGAGTGCGCTATAGGCAATTTTTTCTAATTTTGATTGAATGAACACCATCCACCATCATTATTGGAGTCCAGGATCGATTGTCGCTGTATACAGAATTATATATCTCTCTTGAATGTATATCGCCAATATTGGTCGCTACAGTCTGATATCTGCTTGTATTGTACTCTATTTCAAGTTTAATCGACTCTTGATGACAATGTGTTTGAGATCTGGTCATCGCTTGTCATCAAGTTTGACCCATTATCACCATACTTCGGTATAGTATTGAAGAGTTTACGTTTACGAAGTGAACACTACTTCTAAGTAGACGTGTATATGTATTTTTGGTCACCAATGCAATGTGCAGTTTTAATAGGCCGTGTACACTGCGAAATTCACATAGAGATAGATACAAGTTTACGAATCCCCATGCAATGAACTACAATTGAAATTTCTTGCTCTTGCAGGATCCTGTAGAAGAGGAGGGTATCCCTTGGGCCGTGTATATGCACAACGCACTGAACGAACGTGCCTGGAGTGAAATTATGGAGTACGAGAAGCTCCACGGCGGGTATGTATTTCCGGTATCTCCTAGATATTCTGTAACACCGGGATGCCCAGCTTCGTGCTCAGTTTGATTGTGCTTGAATTTGAGTATTTGGCGATAACGCATCTGCACACACGAGTGTACTCTGTCTCAGGAGAGGCGAGTTTGGCCACTAGATATATACATCGTATGATCTATGCATTGTCTTGTGGCGTATTAGGGGTACTGAATTCCACCCGGTTCCTATCATACACGAAGTCTATCACAAAGAACCACTCCAATTTTCTGACTATCCTCACGCTTGCACAATGTATAGGGAGGAGGTAGATTCCAAGCTGGAAAGTTTCCGAGGACGTGCGCGAGACTACACGCCAAAGGCCCGCATGCTGAATCTATTCGGGTATGTCTCATCTTCCCACCAATATCTTAAGTTCATCGCTTCTTCGTCAGGTTGCAGTGGAGCGTTGGTGATTATCGGCTCCTGATTGCGCTGAACAATACAAATTATTGTCGGGGGCTTGTTAGGTTTTGTAGCATCGCAATGTATTATTTGAACGTCGTATGTCTGTTGGTATCAAATTGGTGATCTAACGGGGTTGTTTTTGGTGGTATTAGCAATTTTCCATATGCAAACATTCGATTATCGTCCCCGTCTACTCTCACTATTGCACGCATAGTAGTCGTCAGATAGTTTTCCATTAGTAAATTGTCTGCGCGCCCTTTCAAAGAATTGTTTAATGAATATCATACTGTGTTAGCAACCATACTCATTGCATCTATCGCCTCGTCACAGATACGCACCCCTTCCATTCGATCGGCACGATTGGGTTGTGGACCGCAACGGCGCCAAGCGAAGATATATCATAGACTATTATATGGACGAAACCGAGCAAAATGAACCTGTAGTTATGCTAGATGTGCGACCTGAAGTGTCGTTCGAGGGAGTCGTTGATAGATTACGTATGTACTGGAAGACTCGACAGCAAGAAGCAGTGCTCAATCTATAAATCTTTCTCGTATTTCAATTAATACTAACGGAGTTTTAACTTATTGAACTCGATAGCGAGGCAATAAGAGTCCCTGCACTGATAACATTAGTCAAAATTATGTGTAAACTTGAGATCGCTAATATGTGTTCGACCCCGCAGCAAAGATGTCGTTGGGGCAACCTGAAAGTCCACTCAGTACGCACTAATGTGCAACATTTTTTATGCTCGTTGCCTGTGTTTATCTTGCATTAATATAGAGAAATGATACGGCTCACTGGCTGTCGTAGAATTTAATGAGGTTTTGATATTTCGCGTACAATGAGTAATTTGCCGCATCGAATGATTTGGTCTAGTACCAGTGATCTGTACGGGTTTTTCTCGCGAGTATTTGTTCTTCAGCACATCGTGCCATCTACCGAGTAACTGACACAGTCAGAGGGTGGCGTGTGAGCTTATTCGAGCTAGAGAGCTCGTATCAAAACCCGTCGCCGATTTTGGAATGTACGTTTGGAAGCAAAATGAAATTTTAGGCGTCGATCAATCGTGGCAGGTCTACTATTGGTATATGCAGAGGTATACGATTGGTATATGCAGTTCCATGGCGACAATCAATAAAATCGGAAAATTTCCTTCAACTATTTCGATCACTGACCACAAGGTTTCTGTCAGAGTCTTAACCTGATATGCCCTTCCTTATCTTGGGTTCATCGACGTTTGCGGTTCAATGAACTTATCAGTAAGCCCAAGATTCCAGAACGGCTGAATACCAAAGTGGGGATAGAAGTATCCTTGCACTTCATACAGTGATTTCATGTTTTTGTAGTTCACCGCAGGTTTGTTATCTTTAAGCGCGACCTCGTACTTAGACAGGGCCTGGTAGTAAAGTGGGTACATCCGATCCATTTCCTCTTCCTCTTCCTGCAGGTTACAAAAAAATAGGAGCGAAGGCGTGAGCTTGGATGTCAGAAAGAGTCGGTTTGTATTGTCATAAAAATTGAGATTTTACACCGACATCAAGAATCGCCCGCAGGACACGTGATACGTGTGCACGTGAACATCAGTGGACTTCCAAATTGTTAAAACATGCGAGAGATGGTGCAAATTCTTACCGGAAATTGAAGGAGAAACAGACACGTACCTGAATATGGGACCATGTGCTGTTCAAGTAAGGCACAGTATAAACCGCCGCGCCCTGGATACAAGGCTCTGGTCCACTACCTCGGTGCGAGTAATTCCACAGATCGATACCAATGTTGTTGCTTAGCGTCGCGAGTGTTGTCCAGCTCATAAGACCGAACATCATGTAGTGAAGACAAGTAGGGCGTTCCATCTCCTTGGGCATAGATCCGTCCTTGAATTGCAATAACTGTGTCCAAAACAGATGGCGCGAATGAGACAATTGTGTGGCGCACTCGAGATCAATGCAATGCCTTCTTTACTACGTCTATGGTATTGAGATTTGCCTCTTGAAGGTCGTATATAGAATTCCATACTGGATACATACTTGGACACTACAGTTTAGACTACGGGTTAGCACAGGTATAACAGAGGCCAGTAGATAAATCTCTCTGGTCAATATCGGGAGTGTGATCGCCTATATGAGCGTGTACGACTGAAGAATGAAGAAGCACGCAACTACCTAACACTCAAATTCAGACCTACTGCAAGAATGTGACAGACAGATCTATACGAATTCGTGGTGCAATCAAAATGCGATATTGAAGAGATTATAGAGCCAGGTCAAGTTTACCAATACCACATATGACCAAACTGCGAGATTATTTGCTTACCATGCGTGCTTGAGAGCGCTGTGTGTAGTTGAGCATGATCGGGATGTCGTCAAGGAACGCGGCGATCGCAGCTACTTGCACATCAAAGTAAGTGCCATGATTGTTCGGAGCCTTGTATTCGTTAAAGCCCTGGGGACTCTCAATAAGATACGTCGAGAACTCGGTCAACCATCTGAAAATTATGCGAAATGCACATTGTGAGTCAAAAGAGACAGAAAATGGGCGGTGATGGCGGACTACACTACATACTTTTGAAAATGAACAAAAACCTGTCCACCAAGGCAAGTCGATACCAGGACAAATCTTTGCCCGCCAGCACTTCTTTTGTAGCGCTCAGAAATAAATGTGTAAAAGCTTGAGGCATACACTTAGCGTGATTAGATAGTGATATCTCATGACATACAGTTAGCGTGAACGCAGAGAACATATGTTTCAAATGTTTGAGACATACAAATACACAATAAACATACTCTTTAAGAATTTTGGTATCAGTCTCCGAGAATTCTCCGGCCTTGATGAACAAACGAACAGCATCCAGCAGAAAATACAAGTCTTTAGTCTCGATTATACCTGTTTTCCATTATAAATAGAGAAGCAATACACATTTTAGTCAGAAAATAAAGTACTCAGAAAGAGCAAATTGATTTAATCTGGTATACGATTTTGAATCATTACGTGAACGCATATATA